ATCCTCCAGTCTTGGAAAGCTGACCCATGTGGGTGTCGGGGAATTGGTTTGCCCTCTCGCACTGGAGAGCAATTAGTTTACCCTCTCGCACTGGAGAGCATAGTTGGTCCCTCGGGGGGCTCAATTCCTGCGATGAGTCCCTAAGAATGGCGCAGTCTTCTTTTGAAGTGCATGAGTGATCAATTGTTGTAAGCATGCAGTCGAGCTAAGTTGTGATTACTTCTAAATTCCTCATCGAAAAACGAGTGAAACGAACGAGAACTTAGCTGTAAGGTAGGAACTGCATAACAACTGGATAATCCTCGACTTGTAAGGTGATGCCCGTTGAACTTCTTGAGTCTTCGGGCTTTGATGTAGTGGGAGGTCACACATGGTACTTCTTCAGATTGTAGGCGCTCCACTACTTTTCGATCTTTTTATCGTTTCATGGTGGTGAGGGTGTAATTACTCTTGCCGCCTATTCTGCTGAGCTTGTACGGACCTTCCCAGATGAGATCCATCTTTTTGGAGCTTTCTTTGAGGGCAATGATGAAGGCTTTTCTTAGGACTAGATATTTGGGCTGGAACTGCCGGATCTTGGCCCTTTTGTTGTAGCTAAAAAAGAACTACTGCTGGTAAGCTGCGATGCGAGTGATAGTTTGTTCGCACTTTTCCTCTGCCAGATTTAAGCTTGTGGCCATCTTCTTTCAGTTACTCTTCTTTTGATGGTGCGATATGCCTATAGACATCCGGGGAGTTCATCTGGCCATCTTCCCTTCTTGTTGGTGATGGATTTCTTGAGGCAGTTGAGGATCATCTTTTTGGATGTTTCGGCCCGCCTATTGCCTTGAGGATATCTCGGCGTTGACATATGTTGTTTTATGCCATATTTTTGGAAGAACTTCGCCAAATCTTTACGCACGAATTGCGGGTCGTCGTTGGTGACGATGGATTAAGGGATGCCAAATCGGTAAATGATGTTCCTCCATATGAAGCGCTCTATGTCCGTCTGAATCATGGTTGTCATGGGCTCTGCTTCTACCTATTTAGTGAAGTAGTCGGTTGCCACGATCATCATGCATTTGCCCCTAGTAGTCTGGCTGGTGATTAGCTGGGAATCAGAATGCATATGAAACTTAGAGTGATCGCCTGCTCGAGCATTGAACCATTTGGGGTGACAAGAACCACGGCTGCTCGCGAACCTTTGTAGTTGGATGAGCCGTTGACATGTAAATGCTAGAAATCTCCATTGAGGGAGTAGGTGCGGCTAAAGTGTGCTCGACTACCTTCGGGGCGTCGTTAGGCTGCTCTGTTGTGTTGTCAAGGCTAGGCGTGAAGGCTCGGCAGGGAGCCGTGAAGCTAGGGCCATGTTACATGTAGCAAGAGATGCTTAACTTTCGATATTGGGCCACTCTAGAGCTGAATAATGGAGTAAGGGTCGGCTAGGGCCGTGTGATGCACGGCAGAAGGTAGTGCTCAACTGCCGGTACATGTTGCTCCTGTGTAGAATCTTCTAGGACGACGAGGACAAAACTTGTTTCTGAGTGTTCATTCCAATGTTCTTCTGCCCTTGATGTGTCTTTTAGGCTGAGTTGTTGTTTTCGTCAGAAAGCTTTGCATCCACTAAGGTCTACTCCTTTATCGTCACACGTCTGGATTCGGCAGAATGGTGCATCATGATGATGACTGCGTGCGTTTGAAGGTAAAACTTGAGCTTTTAGGTTACAACAACTATTGCCAAAGTTAGCTTTTGAATTTCTGATAACATCAATAAGAGCTTTTAAACTGTGGAATACAACTAATAGCATCGATGAGAGCTTTTAAATTATGGAATATAGGTAGTCGGGCCCCCAGCTCTTCTCGTATGATGGTAGAGCTTATTTCTGCTTCAGATGTGACTACTCGTCCAGTCAGACTTTGAATCTCCTTCAGAGTAGTGGGGAACTTCATATTCAAGATCACCGAACTTCGTCCCAAAGTGCATGCTTTTCTGCCAGAGCGAAAGAGTCTGCCAGAGTTAGATCTTCTTTCATTATCAGTTTTTCGAATAGTGGGTGGTCTGCTGGAAGTTCTTTTTGGAAGGCTGCTTTAGCTATCGAGTCGTTACATCCGACTATTTTTGCCTTCTCTGTTTTGAACCTCCTCACATAGTCTCGAAACGACTCATTTGGGTTTTTCTTGACGTTGAACAAATGGTCGGACTTCTTTTTTATCGAGCGATATGATGAATATTCTTTGGTGAAAACCAAAGAAAGTTCGTTAAAATTCCAGATAGATTGTGGCGGCAGGGTGTATAACCAATCTTGCGCCTTGCCTTGTAGAATGGTGGTGAATATCTTGCACATAAGACCGTTGTTGTTTCGATAGAGGATCATTGCGCTTCGGTAGTGCTTTAAGTGTCTCTCTGGGTCTTCATCCCCTTTGAAAGATGTGAAATGTGGCATGCTGAACTCGCGTGGAGGCTCTACCTACTCGATCTTGTTCGTGAAGGGTGACCTGCTTATGTTGGTCATGTTCCGTCGTAGTGCCTCGTCGATGACCTCATTGCGTTGGAAATTGCGCAATCGCTTGGTCAAAAGTCTCTCTACTTCTTCCTGAATTTGTTTTTGTTGGGGTAACGGAGCTCTCAGTTGCCCCCAACCGTGACTTGCTGGTCTAGGCTGCTTTTCCATGTGTTTGGCTTGTCTATGCCCCGGATGCAGTGCATGTAGCGCGTTCCTAGCAGGCGAGCGAGTTCTTCGCAGGCTGCCGGTTGCACTTAAGCCGTATTGAGTGACTGCTTCTCTCCATCCTTCGGGCTGCCTACTCCGATGTGAGGTGGATGATGCTCCTTGCGGGCTTAGCCGTAAATGAACACTTCGCCTGGAAGGCTGCTCATGTTGACTATCGGAGTGTGACCCTAACCGTGAATGTATGCTCGTCTGTGGGCCTAGTCGAGAGTGCACGCTCCTCCGCGCTCTAAGACGGGAGTATACGCTATCTCGGGGGTCCAATCGGGAATGTATACTACCTGAACGCTCGGTTCGTGGCTGGTCGAGTGGCTGCTTACCGGGACGCTGCTGGAAAGGTTCTTTGTCTGCCCTTGTCCTACTTCGGGACACCTCGTCTGGGGCAAGTTGCATCTCGGTGCGCTGCAAGAGCCAGTTCACCAAGGTCGTCTGCTGTGTGAGGACGCTTGTCAACTCTATGACTTGTTGAGATAAGTGTTGTTCTCCATTTGGGTTGGAAGAGCTTGGAAGGAATGTGCCTCCTTGGGCAATGGAAGAGTGGTAGACTCTGGACATGAGATTTGAGTTGGGAAATGTCAAATTCACGGAAAAATATGGTGAGAATGCCCCCGGCTCGATGGTAGGTCCGGATGGTTGAGATAGTTTTGGGCCGACTTAGGCTGCTTGGAAAGCCACGGGAGCAGACTGGGCCGTATGAGCAGGCTGGGCCTCGAGAGCAAGCTGGGTTGCGAGAGTAGGCTGCTCAGCGGGAGCAGGCTGGGCCACGGGAGTGGGCTGCTCGGCTGGAACAGGCTGGACCACAAGAGTAGGCTGCTCGGAGTGTGATGCACATGGGTGCGAGGTTTGGGCTTGGCTTGGCAACGCGTTGAATTCACGTTAGGCTTGGAGTGACATGGCTTGGGTCGTGGCCTTGGTGCCGTGAGCCTTGGATGGCACGACTTGGGCCGTGGTGAAGGCACCATGGACCTCGCCACGGGTGACTACCAAGGTAGCCACCGCGGTGGTTCCCGTGGTGGAAACTCGTGGTGGTGATGCTGCTCCACTTATTGTCGCATTTAGCCTCACGGATCTCCGCAATCCCATTTCTTGAATATTAGAATTTTCACTTGTGGAATTTTCTAAATTTCTAGCCATTATATTTTTCTTATACGTTTTATCAAAGAAACTTTGCAAGTAAAAAATTCTAATAATAAGAACGTATGAAAAATATTCAAATGGACTAGAAAATAAAGAAAAAACCTTTTTGTGCGAGAGTCTTCTACGAGTATGGATTTCAACTCTCAATGAAAGCACCAATTTGTGGATGCAAATTTCTTCCTCCTTGATCTTGGACAATTTTACACCTACAAAACAATTAACACCTTAGGTTAAGGCCAAGAGCCTCACGCGCCCACGATGAATGGGGGGGCTTTGGCCGAAGAACCTCCGATGCCAAAGTTAGAATTTAGAGAGAAATAGTGTTTAGAAAATTTTGGGATTTTTGCCGAAGTGTTGGAATGAGTTTTTGGTGAAAATAGGAACCTATTTATAGGGTTAGGCTTGTCCATTTTTTGAGAAGAAATGGCCGGCCTTAATGGGGATTTTTAGGTTGAAATTGTGGTTTAATTAGCCAATTTATTGGCTAATTAACCCTAAAGGAATAAATTGGTGGATACCAAATTGATTAATTTGCATAAATGGGATAATATAGAGGGAAAAATGGAAAAAGGTAAAGAGAAAGGATGGTGACCGGTTTTGACTAGCTTTAGGGTTGAATTGGATGTATTTAGTGGTTAATTGGGTGATAAATTTGGTGATTAATGAATTAATTAGGAATTAATTTATTAATTAGCCAATTAATCTCTATTTTATGGGATAACTTATAGGTTATGAAGTAATTACCTAATGAGGATGGATGAGATAAATTGGAATTGGTTACCTTTTTTGGAGCATTTTTGACTTGGTTGAGGATGATTGTCCGCCGCTCGCGCATAGGAATCTCGGTATGCCTCAAGGGTATTTTTGTTCTCTTTTACCTAAAAATCCACGTGTCGCCTTGTGATTATTTTTGGCTCCACAAATATACTGTCATTGTCGCTTGGGTGTACAATAAATTAAAATTGTCACGCATGAGTAGTTAAACATTGACTATAAAGTTGCCATAGTGGACCGTTGTTACCATAGCCAGTCAATTCGAAAAGAGTTTAAAATTGTCACGCATGAGTAATCAAACATCAGACAGTGATTATAAAGTTGCCATAGTGGACTTTTTTTTAGCATTGTCAGCCAAATCTTGAAAAAGAATTGAAGAATCGTCGGTCTGGAATTGTGAGTCAAATCTAGAAAATGATATGAAGAAAAGAATTCTTTGAATGAATGCTCTTGTCGTTGGTTTGGAATGAATAGTACTTTCCTCTGGATCAGTCACATATAATCTTCTCATTGAAAAAATTTCTTTGATGGTATTCTTGTTGAAGAGAGATATATGTTCATGAATTTTACAGAAGGAGTGATTGTTACAACACTTGTTCAAATCGTTCTTCTCATCCGGTGCTGCGCTTCAACGGATAGCATAGCAGCTGACCAAGCCATCAAGGATGGCGAAGTTCTCGTCTCGAGTGGGGAAGTGTTTGAGCTTGGGTTCTTTAGCCCTGGGAAATCCACGAAGCGATACGTTGGAATTTGGTACAAGAAAGATGTAGAAAACAGAGTTGTGTGGGTCGCAAACAGAGACAATCCGGTCAATGACACTTCAGGAGTCCTCTCAATCGGTACGCATGGAAACCTTTTCGTCTATGCGAAAAACAGAAGTAATATCCCTCTCTGGTCTACCAAATCCGGGGTTTCAATTTCATCGTTATCATCCGAACATGGTCCTATTTACAAAGCTCAGCTCCTAGACACTGGAAACTTCGTTTTGGTTGAGCAACAACAAGACAGCGAAAAGGTAGCATGGCAAAGCTTCGATTACCCCACGCATGTGCAGCTACCATTTATGAAACTTGGTATTGATAAGCGGACAGGATTGAACCGGTTCCTGACTTCCTGGAAGTCGGAAGATGATCCCAGAACAGGGAATTACACCTACAGGATTGACCCAGATGGAGCTCCCCAGATTGTGGTGAACAAGGGTAACATCCGATTGTGGCGGTCCGGTAATTGGAATATGAATAGGGGGTGGTGGAATGGTAAAACCACAGTGCAAGGTGGCCTTGAAATCTACACTACAAATGATGAGAATGAGATCACAATAATGTGGGACGTTGTCAACCCTTCGATCATCTCAAGAATAATAGTGATGGACAGTTCTGGATCAATCAAAGAACTTATATGGTATCAACAAAAGCAGGGGTGGAACCTAGTCTGGTCTGAACCCTTGAACAAATGCGACTCTTATGGCTGGTGTGGAGCATTCGGCAGATGTGACCCCTTTGGAACTTATGGCTTGAGCGAGTTCGAGTGCAAATGCCTCCCAGGGTTTCAACCCTTGTTGGAAGTTGAGTGGAACATGAAAAATGCATCGAGTGGCTGTGTGAGGAAGCACAAGGCATGCAGAAATGGCGAACGTTTCATCAAAGTTGCCAACATGAGAACTCCTGACACATCATGGGCACTGGTGGATACGAATTCAAGTTGGAAACAATGTAAGGATGAGTGCTTGAGAAATTGCTCTTGCTTGGCATACACAAAATTACGAGTTGGCATTGGCTGCCTGACATGGTATGGGAATTTAATAGATACTCGAGATAATGCCCAAGGGGTTGGTGACGAGCTTTACATTCGCGTGGATGCACTTGAGTATGGTATGTGGCTAACTTTCTAAGTAGTACTGAAATAATATTCATTCGCATATTTCTCTCAATTAAGTATTTTTTACTTTGTAGCCCAATACGCAAAAAAGCCGAAGAGTTTTCTTGCCAAAAAGGGAATGCTGCCGGTTTTGGTAGTATCTATTGCTATGGTATCCTCCTTCATTTTCGTCGGATGTTGTTTGTGTTTAAAGAGAAAGAGAAGAGGTAAGCAAAAATTTATTCCCCCATAGTATTGCAAGCCTCTTAGTGAGTCTAATAGGCACTTTATGTTATTTGTAGGATCTTCAAAGGAAAAAAAGGAAGATGATAGTAAAGCTCATCATGACCTACCATTTTATGACCTAAAAAGCTTAGTTGCTGCCACGGAAAATTTCTCTGCTGCTAACAAGCTCGGCGAAGGTGGATTCGGCTCAGTCTATAAGGTATCTCAGTACGGTACATAAAGCTCGATAACATAATTAAGCACATCTCTCAAGTAGTACTTCATTCCTAAGTATATAATTAAGCACACATTGACATAGCATTTTCGTTACCGTATCAAATCTTAAACTAAGGACGGGGTGATAATTTTCAGGGTTTACTAGCTAATGGACAAGAGGTTGCTGTGAAACAATTATCAAAGGATTCGGGGCAAGGTTTAGAACAATTTAAGAATGAGGTTATGTTGATAGCAAAACTTCAGCACAGGAACCTGGTGAGGCTTGTAGGTTGCTGCATCCAGGCAGAAGAGAAGATGTTGATCTATGAATACTTACCAAACAAAAGCCTGGACCTTTTCATATTTGGTATACCTTTCAATTTATAAATAGCAACATTTTTTTTGCATGAAGTTATTTCGCCACGCCATTTTTCTCCTACACGCCTCTCCTTGTTTATGTTCCCTTGATTCTCCTTTAAGCCTCTGTTTTATTCAATCCAAAGGCCAAAAAAATGGTATGCTGAAAGCGAAAATGGGTGTGTAGAAATCATTTTCCTTACTTCATCTGAAATTTGAATTATAAGTCAAATGAACTAAAGAATATACCAAAGAACTAATTGCAGCAGAGCTTGTAAATGTTATCTTATGGTTTCCTTACTCTCCATTCTCCATACATTGAATGAAGGTTTATGTTTCTTGGCCAGATAAAAGTAGAAGCTCATTGTTGGACTGGGAAAAGCGTATTGAGATTATCGTTGGAATCGCTCGAGGAGTCTTATACCTTCATCATGACTCAAGACTGAAAGTCATCCACAGGGATCTAAAAGCTAGCAATGTTCTATTGGATTCAGCAATGAACCCCAAGATCTCAGATTTTGGACTGGCGAAAATGTTTGGGGAAGACCAAATCATAGCGAAAACAAACAGAGTGGTTGGAACATAGTAAGTATTTCGGAGTACATCTGATTAGAAGCATATGAAGATTATGAAGAAACAATTGGCATGCTCAATAGTTTGTATCATGTTGTGTGATTGCAGTGGCTACATGTCACCGGAATATGCAATGGGAGGGCGATATTCGACAAAATCGGATGTTTTTAGCTTTGGTGTCATACTGCTAGAGATCATTAGTGGCAAAAGGAACACGAGTTATGATGATGAAAGTCACTCCCCAAATTTGATTGGACAAGTAGGCAATTTATTAAGTTCTAAAGTATATATACGCTGTGAGTTACCAATTTTTACTTCTGAATATTTGTGCTAACATGATGTTTGAAATTGCATCAGATTTGGGATATGTGGACGGAGAAGCAAGCATTAGGTATAGTCGATCCATCATTGGATCAGTCATATCCTGCACATGAGGTTTCGCGATGCATCCAGATCGGGCTACTTTGCGTGCAAGAAAGTGCATTGGATAGGCCAACCATGTCGGAAGTTGTTTTCATGTTGTGTAATGAAACAACTCTTCCCTGTCCCAAGAAACCTGCATTTATATTACAATCCACAGATCCAAACAAGGAAGCATCAAGAGGAGAAATTCGTTCGCTAAATGACTTAACAATAACCGTGGTTGAAGCGCGGTAATGACCTAGGTTGTACGTCTCTGGGTGAATCGTACCATGTCAACCAAGTTCTGAGATGCATCCAAATTGCCCTCTTATGTGTGCAAGAGTATACCATTTCATTTTCTTCTTACATTTATGTTTTCATTTGTTAATATATACTTCAGACGCTGTTCTGTATTTTTATCCTAATTCATACTTACTGATATTTTTTTAACGATTTCAACTGTCACCCGGCACTGAAGATTCGTTTGACACCTGTCTGTTCAAATAGAGACTCTTTTTCCTTTCACATTACATGTATCGTTCCTGAATGAATTTGTTATTCAACTTTCCTGGATGATTTGATACGTCGTAGACAAAGAAATATTTCTTGCCATTGTCCTTTGTAATGTCATGTGTTACCAAACTTAAGTGAAAAAAAAAGCTCTTGGTCGTAATTTTTGGTAGAATGTTGATTCCTCTCTGCTTATCCTAGTTTAGTACAGAGAATGTATATCGGTTAATAACTGAAAAAAAGTCTACCCCTGTTCCCCTGTTTTTCCCCTGTCTTGGTACAGAGTATTCACGAATTGTCTTCAGGAATAGTCACCGGAAGTTAACCACACTAAGGATAACAGTCAACCAAGTAATGAGCGTGATGAGTGGTGGCGGAGATGGAGATAATTAGGGGATTTAACAGTTTGCAGCTATGATTGCACGGATACAGACACAGACATAGGGATACGACACAACACGGGAATACAAGAAGAAACCACGATGTCCATGCATTTTAGCTTTTGCAGTAACATGAATAAACGATTTTATCAACTAGCTATTAAATTTGTTTTAGGTTTGGAACTTGTGGAGAGAAGGCAATGCCTTGGAAATCGTTGATTCGTCTCTGGGTGAATCGGACCATGTCAAGTTCTGATATGGGTCCAAATTTCCCAGCTTATGTGGACAAGAGTATACCACGGACCGGCCAAATGTCGGCAGTTGCTTTCATACCAAGTAATGTAAAAGTACTCCTTCACCAAAAAACAACCAGCGAACTTGCGTCCAAATTCCCCAGCTTATGTGGACAAGAGTATGCCCACGGACCGGCCAAAAATATCGGCGGTTGCTTTCATGCTCGGTAATGAAGAAGCAGCTCCTTCACCAAAACAACCAGCATTGGAGTTATAACAGTGGAGATCAATCACCCAGTTTTTTTTGTTTTTGTTTTTTTAAATTATTATTAAAGGGAGGCGAGGGTTTGAAAATATACAACAATTTAGCGGAGGGTGTAGTTTTGATCTAGAACGCATGGGTGAAAATCCAACATTCTATCTACTAAGATATTAGACTACATACAAATACTCCATCACTCAGTATTGAAGAAGAAAATTCATTAAATGATGTGACATGTAGTGGCATAGAACCTCGCTAAAGTTGAACTTTTAAAAATATTTTGAGTACATTGACTTGAAGGGCGTCAAAAATACTGGTTACGATTGCGAACTTGCAAGGTAATTGAAGAGAAATTATACTAGTTTAGTTAGCTAATTAATTCTGTCAATTGTGAGACGTACTATGAACGGAAACTTGAACGCTAACAGTCTAACAGACGCGTTCACATCAATTAGTGTTTAAGAATGAGAGGTTTGTGGTCATCAAACTTCGGCGTGGCATAGGAGAAAATTCTTTAAAAGATGTTGACCTGTGATTCTTTGCATGCCAAATAAAAAAATCCTAAGACTTTTCAAATTGGCCCCTTTCGGAGCCAAGTTAGGTCTGCCAGTGAATTAGAAAATTGTCTTTATCGATCTAGTGGATACAACATTAAAGAAGTGGACCTTTCTAGCTAGGCTCAGTATTCTTACGTCGACTGGAATTCGCCGGTGAATTCAACATCTGGAAGCCTTCACCGTTGAGTATTCTCCAAAGAAAAATAAAATCCAACCTTTCCGGCTTTTTGTTTCTGCTTGCCATTAAAGAAGCAACCGTTTTAGCACTTAAAACTCCTCAATGAGAAAGCTAGCCATCAACCATGAATTCCACTAAATTCTTTTTTGTCACAATTATATTGCTTATCTTCCTTGTGATTCTTCCCTCTTCCCTTTCGGTTGCCATAGACGCCATTACACCAAACCAACCCCTAAGAGATGGCGACGTTCTTCTCTCCACCACTAAAATCTTTGCACTCGGGTTTTATAGCCCACGCAATTCTCATAACCGTTACGTCGGAGTTTGGTACAACAAAATTCCAAGTCCAAACCATCGTCTGGACTGCAAACAGAGACAACCCCATAATTCCTCTTGATGGAGCTGGGCTCCTAGCGATTCATGGAGATCATGGAGACCTTATCATTTATGGGAAGGACCAAAATACCTCTCTTTGGTCTGCTAATGTCAGAGTCTCTTCGCCAAACAATTCCGTAATAGCCAAACTTTTGGATACAGGAAATCTTGTATTGCTTGAGAATAACGGTAGTAGCCAAACGGTGCTGTGGCAAGGCTTTGATTACCCCTCAGATACAGTGCTTCCGTTGATGAAGATTGGGCTGAACCGGCGGTCAGGGCTGAACTGGATCCTAAAATCTTGGAAGTCCCACGATGATCCCAGATCGGGGAATTTTTCATATGAGATTGACCCAAACGGGTTTCCGCAGTTGGTTATGTACAAGGGTCGAACCAAATGGTTTCGAGCCTGACCTTGGACCGGACAGAGATTGAGCGGGCTCCCCGAGATAACATCTAATAGTCACCGCAGCTTTGTGAACAATAAAGATGAGACATATCTGGTATATACTGTTCCAAATGGCTCAGTTTTCACAAGGGGAGTGGTAGATGAATCAGGAACTTTTCAACGGTTCGTATGGCGAGATCAAGAAAACAAAAGGATTGAAGTAAGCTCTAACCCTAGTGAGTGGTGTGACTACTATGGACAGTGAGTATTTATCAAATATAGCCAAATATTAGCCCTTAATTTCAAAAATGTTAGTTTTTATAAAAACTTTCAAATATATCCAAAATATCACTTAAATAGACACAAATACCCTTAAACTTTAAAACCAAATAAATTAAAAAAACCAAAACCCTATTAGATTGATATTTTGGACGGCAAAACCTAAAAAATGGTGGAGATATAGTGAAGGCATCGGCTACTGTGGAGACTTTGTGCAACCCTAAACTACGAAGGTGATTGTACATGGTTAATTTTTTTTCATTCTTCCTAGTCTATGTTTTCTCTTTGCTTTTGTAGTTTCTTCCTTCGGTTGAATTTTATTGAAGAACGAACTGTCAATTTTTGTAAAGTTTACGGAATAGAAATTCTTTAGCGCATATTAGAAAAATTAGGTTTCTTGTGTCAATGGAAGATTGACAAATCTAATAGCTTTTGCCAATCAATTAGAGGCAAAGCTAATAGCTTTTGCCAATCAATTTTTGCTCTTTGTTTGGAAAAGAAAAGAAAAAAAAAAGGAGAAAGTTTTAGTTAGAGATTATAGCATAAGAAGTGTTAAGTCTAACAATTAGTTATTCATATAATTTTTTTTGTTATATTTGATAAATTCCCATGGAGAGTATTTAAGTGTGGTCCAAATAGTAACTGTGACCCATACAGTAATTATAACTTCTCTTGCCTCTGTCTGCCCGGATTTAAACCCAAGTTCCCCCGGGATTGGTCTCTGAGAGTTGGAGGGGCTGGATGCCTGAGAAAATCGGGAGCGTCTACATGCCAAAAAGGGGATGGGTTTGTCAGGGTGGCACGCGTGAAGGTACCCGATTCATCTTAGGCACGTGTGAATATGAGTTTGAGTCTGAAAGGGTGTGAGCAAGAGTGCAGGAAGAATTGTTCTTGCACGGCATACACAAATGCAGACGAAAGGGATGGAGGGAAGGGTTGTGTGACGTGGTACGGGGACTTGATAGACATAAGAACTTTTTCAAATGTTGGGCAGGACTTGTATGTACGAGTGGATGCAACTACTCTAGGTAATCACTTTATTTTTCCTACTCACAATATTTTGTATTCTACACTTTTTATCAGAATTTATCTACTACGAGATAAATCTTGTTGGATAATACGTAGTTGCATGTTGATTGACCGATTGTACTTTGCCCTGATCCGTCTATCTACTTACATCCCACAATTATCTCGCACATGAGAAAACCCCATATTTTTCCTTCATTTTTTATAGTGATTTGCTACTATTTACAGTTCACAACTGTTGAATTCTTTGGATTTTTATTTTTATTTATGTTCTTGTAGCTCAATTTGCAAATGGTTCTGTAATTAGCAAGAAGGCAAGGCTGGCAATTTCACTAGTATCCGCTCTTGTGTTCCTTGTCCTAGTTTTCCTTTTGTGTTGGTTGATAAGGAGAAAGAGGAAAGGTAAATAATTCTCTCTCTGTCGTAATTAGCATCCCTCTTGTGTCCGTCTTCTGTTACATCAACACTACATTAATAAACTATCATGTTGCAAGTGACCCTCTACCACAGTGGTGGAGATGATAGTGTTGCCCTTGCACCACAACGTGGGTTCGAACTCCGTCGGCTCTTTAATTTAACATCTAATATACAAATTTATCGTTTGACAAAAAAAAAAAAACTATTATGGTCACTAATGTTAGTTGAACAAAATGAGATGGGTAAAAGACTTATTAGGGGCTACTGGATGGGTATACTATGAGGCCTTTTACTCACTCTATTATGTAAAACTGATGCCAACTGTTATTGTAAGTTTTCTTGTAGTGTCGCGCAATACTGATTGTTAATGACCAAAAGGCTATAACGTTGCATTGCTTGTTATGTATTTCATGACAGTAGGGAGGCAGAATAAAAAATATGTTTTTCATGGAAGATAGAACAGATCTTGATGATCAAAGTGAAATAAACTCAGAATTACCATTCTTTGATCTAACAACCATCGCAGCGGCCACGGACAATTTCTCTGTAGCAAACAAACTTGGGAAAGGAGGTTTTGGCTCAGTCTATAAGGTAGTTAGCCTTCTATACTTTTCCGAATCAAGCATAACTTCAAGTTAACCTAGAAGTTTACAACAAACATGACAATTCATGTTTGAAGCCTTTAAAAATGAACTGTAACATAAGTACTTGGATTATAATTTCAGCGTGTACTTCATAATGGGAAGGAAGTAGCGGTGAAACGACTATCAAAGCATTCTGGTCAAGGAATTGTTGAGTTGAAGAATGAAGTTAAGATAATTGCGAAACTCCAACACAGGAAACCTTGTCAAGATTATAGGTTGTTGCGTTGAAGATGAAGAGAAGATGCTAATCTATGAATACGTACCAAACAAAAGTTT